CTGTCCCTGCCAGTCTCTGTGTCCCCTGCTAGCCTCTGTGTCCCCAGACTCCCATTCCAGAAGCATGAGGAACAGTCACCGACAACACTGTCTGCACCGCAGGAACTCCCCTAGGGACACTGAGAGGGACGGCATGTCCTAGACCCTGTCAGGAAAAAAAAAATCATGGGATTTGTCTTGGGGACTTGTCCATTTCTCAAAATGCAGACCTTCATGACCAGTTTCCTCCCCAAGGGGCCTTTCTCCTCCAGCTAAGTTACACCGCCAATCTGCTTTATCCACACCCCAAAGCAAACTGTGTGTCAGCCATGACACCCCCAGAGGACACCGGATTCAGAGTCTAGAGAGACCTTCCTGACCCAGCGTGCCTCCAACAGCAGGGACAGTCTCACTCCCTGTCACCAAGATCCGTGGCAGCACCAACCCAACTGCACCAGAGAAGAGAGCAAAGTGGTCCAGGCAGGGTGCCAGGCAGAGCCAGGCGGGGTGCCAGGCAGGATGCCATGCCGAGCATCCTCAACTAAAGGCCTGCCGTGGTCAGGCCTGTGCTGCTCTCACTCTCCGGGGAGACAGAAACGCTCACTCAGTCTACAGCAGAGTTCAGGTGCTGCCTGAACTCGGGGCTGGTGGAGGGACAATACCAGAGTCCCTCAGCCATCAGGAGAGAGGGGGTTCTCCAGGCCTGCGCCCACGAGTGGTTCCACATCCATGCTGGTGTCAATTCTACCCAGTCCCCAGACCTCGGGGCTCCTGGGCTCCAGCCTCAGAGCGCTAAGGGTGCCTTCATCAGGAAGAGCAGGGGTGCCCCCGAGCTCCTGTGTGTGCTCAGCAGATGCCCCCGCACCCGGGACAGTGCGCCACAGATACCACACCAGGGCCCTGCTTCTCCAGGCGCACACCTGCTCACTAAGCTGAAGGCCCAGCCACAAACGCAGACCCAGGACTCTAAAGGTGCTTTGCTGGAGGCAAAGAGCAGCCCAGACCCAGATCTGGTCTCTCTAAACAGGCCTGAGTCTAAGACAGAGGCCGGAGATGTGTGGGTGGGTGTGACGTACCTTTGCCTGTCAGTCCAGAGAGTGAGGAACTGCTCAGCACCTCACACACACAGACACACACAAGTACATACGTCACACACATGCATATTCATAGGACATGCATGTATGAACGCATGTACACACATATCAAAGATACACACCCATACACATATACGTAAGACACTTGCGATCATGTCTGTGAGCATGCATGTGTGCATGTCTCTCTTGTGAATGAGAACCCTCAAAAAGAAACGACATCTGCAAAGGCTGATTTCCTGACTGGAACCAGTGGTGTGCAGAGGTTCGGAGCCTGATCACACTTTGTCTCCTCCAGGGCAGACCTAACGTTCTGGGACTAACGGACGAAACCTTTGGAGTGTGTTAGCTCAGCAGAGCCCTAGCTCCCACCAACCCAGAGGCTAAGAAGTCCTTCAGACAGCATCTGAGGCCAAGGGCTGAGGCCGCCCAGCTTTGCTGTGACTCCCTCTAGGAGGCACCCACCAACATGTCACGAAAGCATCTTGATCTGTGACTTTCTTTGCCTGTGAGTGTAAAAGCCTCGTGAATCTGCTTCCACACCAGAAGATGATGGTGTGCCTCTGTGCCCCCAGGCCAGTCGCTCACAGCTGGCTCCAGAAGAAACTATCTATAGCCCTTTGAGGGGAAAGTTTGCATCAAGGATGTATATAAAGTGTGTTCCTTATGTATACGTGTGAGGCACATGCACACCCACTCGCACATATATATGCACACATAAACATTCATGCATGCACATATGCTCACATCAGACCTAAATATAGGCACACAATACATAGGACACGCCTGCAAACATACATGTATATGAATGTGAATACATAAACAGATAGTACACACCAGGCAGAGGCCTAGGTCTATATTCGTGTGTGTGTGTGTGTGTGTGTGTGTGTGTGTGTCTAATACAGCTGCACACACAGGGCTGGCACATGCCTGTGGGCACACAGGCATGCATATACATTTGCGCACACATACACACACTCTCACGAACAATGAAACTGTGGAGTGGACACAGGGGCCACTGGTAGAGCCTCCGGTGGCCACACCTAGAGCTCTCAGTGGCAGAGATGGAGTGACACCGAGGGAGGGTTCATTCAGAGACCAATGGATGCCCAAACCAAGCATGGACAAACCTCCCTACAGAATTTCGAAGAAGTATGAGTGCCATCCCTTTGAGGCAGAATGCCCCCCCTTTGAAGCCCAGGAGGCACGCAGTGACCTCCAAAGACAGTGTGAGGCTGCACTGAGCACATGTGATCATGATCGGCTGGCTGAGTCGGACCTGCTGGGGTGCTGCGTCCGGTACTGAGGTGAAGACACAAAGTGTGTGCTTTTCCGCACACCATGATCTCAGCGGCCACTCAGCAGCCACGCGGCAGTCCTACCCAAGCCCTGCCCAGGAGGCTAAGGGACACAGGAGGAGTGGGGATCCTGGATGGGACAGAGAACACTGAGTGAAACTAAAGGAGACCTCAGTAACACAGACATGTGTTGGTAGAGTGGCTCGAGAATGTGCACCGCGTGGGAGTGTGAGAGGGACACAGGAAGTGTGGTGCCTCCTGTACTGTGTACACCATTTTCCATACCATAAAACTCTAACGAAATCAAAGCTCTGTGTGACTCAGTTAGCACAGCTCTGGCCTAGCATGAAGAAAGCCCTGGGTTCTCGCCCCAGCATAAATCGGGCATGCTGGCGTATGAGGGAGGCAAAGGCAAGAGAATTAGGAATTCAGTGACATCGTCGGCTACATGACAGGTTCAAAGCCAGCCTGGGGTACATAACACCCTTTAAAAAAAAAAGACTTTATTTAAATATGGGCTGGAGAGTCGGCTCAGCAGCTAAGAGCATTTGTTTCTCCTGCAGAGGATTAGGGTTTGGTTCCCATCACCCACATGATAGCTCACAACATTCTGTAACTCCAGTTCCAGGGGATCCAACATCCTTTTCTTACCTAGGCAGGCAGTTAAGTAAGAACTTGTAAGGTGAAAAGGTACCCAGCTTCCTGGGACTGTCAGAGAAGCAGCAGCCGGAGTGATGGAAACAGGGCAGATACACATCCAGAGGTGGCCGAAGGACCGAGAACAGATGACTGCAAGAGGGCAGCCACATGCATCTTCATACATTCATCCCAGAAAGACTAGAGCATTAAAGCAGCCTGGGCTGGGAGGCTCCAGAAGAAGGAAAAATAAATAGACACACAGACACACAGAAACATGCACAGAGCACAAGAAAGAGAAATGGAAGAGAGAAAGAGAGAGAGATGGGTGGGTGGATGGATGGATAGATGGATGGATAGATAGATAGATAGATAGATAGATAGATAGATAGATAGATAGAAATCAAAACAGAGATCCAGCAAGAGGCTGAGAACTAGCAAGTGACCACTGCTTCCATCCTATTGGTCAGAATGAGGTCATATGGCCAAGCCTCACTGCATGGGATGCTGGGATATGGGGTCTTTCTTCTTGTCAGCCATCTTGCCACTGTAGAATCTATAGTGTAAGAGTATTTATAACTTGAAAGGGCTGCCCAGCATAAGGCCCTGACCCCTCCACAGTCCTCAGGCCGTTGAAGACCTACCACACCCATCTCCTAGCCCAGGAAACTCCCTCACCTTCATGCCCACCCCTTAGCCAGGAAGCCTTCCTATTGTGCCCCTGTGCTAGTGGGCCTGCAAACCTGTGCACTCTCCTGAGCAGCCCACAGTGTCTCTTCAGTCAGCACTCATTTGTGCCGCCTTCCACGGGCACCTCCCTGGCAGGAAAGGAGCCACAGCTCTGAGCCTTGGGTCATGTTAACCCAAGGCCCTCAGGCTCCAGGGCACAGAAGCATCTCTGACCCTGATGTCTGGGAAGCATTCAGCAAGCGTGTCTCTGCCAGTCCGAGAAGGAACCTGTGTCCTGTGGGTGCTAGCACACCTCAACAGCAGCTTCCCACAGCTCCGTGTGTCACACCACGCAGAGTTAGTGCTTGCTGGCTGTTTCTGCGTGGAGCAGCACAGTCAGAAGGAAGCTGCTCGTGGATCTGCAGTTCTGGGAGCTTCCCTCATGACTCAATCTGATTGTTCTCTTCTTTCTGCCAAGCCTGCACCCCTTGCACCTCCACTCCCTCACTCCCACGGCCCCCACCGTGTCCGACTCCACACATCTGCTCCCTCACGCCGCCCCTCCCCCACTGCGTCTGATTCATCCCACCCCAGAGCTCCTTACAAGAGTAAGGAGGAAAGAGGGGCCCAGGCTGCAGTGCCCTGCACAGACCTGGGCCTGGGAAGCTGATCCCACAGGCCTCCCCCGGATATGCTGAGAACACTCGCCCACCCCCAAAGCGGGACCTTCTAGCATCAGTGGATGGAGAGGAGGCCATGGTGGTTTGAATGAAAATGCTCCCTATAGACTCATGATGAGTAGCCTTTTTGGAGGTGTGGCCTTGTTAGAGTAGGTGTGGCCTTATCAGAGGTGGGCTCTGAGGCTTCAGAAGTCCTGCTGCCTGCCAACCTGGATGCAGAACTCTCAGTTACCTCTCCAGCCCACATCCACCTGCAAGCTGCCATGCTTCCCGCCGTCACGATAATGGACGTGCAAGCCAGCCCCCGTTAAATGTTCTCCTTTACAAGGAAACCCTAAGACAGAGGCCCATCCACCCTGCCCCTAGCTGCGTTCTCTGGGCTCAGAGGAACTGAGAGTTGCTGTGGACACTGGAGTGGGAGCGGTTCCAGATGGAAGTCCACCTTCTAGGCTCTGGGCCATGGGCCACCCTCCTCCCTGGGAAGAGCGCTGGGGGATAAAGGGGCAGAGGGAGGGACCAAGGGCCTCCATTAGAGATAGAGGCCATCCCAGCATCACACAACGCTCATGTGCAAAGTCCGGTGACCGCCCATCTCTGGAGATGCCCAGGATAAGAGGCCTGGCTGACCCTGAGACTTTGCTCCACTCCTGGCCTGAGCTGCCCATGCACCTTTCATCTGAGAGCCAACCATGGGACGCCCAGCTGTCCTCCTCACGGTGGCTCTGGCCATCCTCCCCACGTGTGGGACTGGGGCCCCTGTCCAACGGCAGCGTAAGTTACTCCTGGTCTCCTTCGATGGCTTCCGCTGGAACTATGACCAAGATGTGGACACCCCCCACCTGGACACGATGGCTCGAGAAGGAGTGAAAGCTCGGTACATGACTCCTGCCTTCGTCACCATGACTAGCCCCTGCCACTTTACCCTGGTCACTGGTGAGTGCCAGCCTCAGGGTGGGACTTGGGAATGGAAGGAGCCTGAGACACCAGATAGCAAAGGAGAAGCACCCTGGTCAAAGGTGAGAGGTCATCGCTCTGAGAGCCCAGACAATGGTCCTTTAGGAGTCCTCTGCTGGTGGCACCTGGTCAAGGGCTTGCTCCACAGCTGTCCCAAGGGAGCGGCACGCTGTAGGTCTTCCTCGGGCCTGCTCCACACGCGCCCTCCCTTCTGCTTCCCCGCTCAGGCAAATACATCGAGAACCATGGAGTGGTTCACAACATGTTCTATAACACCACCAGCAAGGTGAGGCTGCCCTACCACGCCACACTCGGCATCCAGAGGTGGTGGGACAACGGCAGTGTGCCCATCTGGATCACAGCCCAGAGGCAGGTAGGAGGGCCCGCCCGGGAAACTGAGGCCATGCAGAGGGAGAGCCACAGCAGGCACAGGCCTCCTGGCCGCCTGGTATAGAAGGCTGCTCAGCAAGCTGCTGAGGAGGGGCGCCGTGCAGGCAGCCATCGGGGCTCAGCTGTGGTCTGAGGGTGTCTCCCGGACGCCCTCTGCTCTGAAAGGGAGACCAGGGCTGAGGCTGTAGCAGGCTTAGCAGACTGCTTGCCTGGCATGCGTGAAACTTGGGGTTCCAGTCTCAGCCCCACAGGGAGCCGGGGGTGGTGGCTCACATCTGCAACCCAGCACTTGGGAAGTGGAGGCAGGAAGATCAGGAGTTCAAGGTCATTCATGGCTACATCTGAGGCCATCCTGGGATATGCAAGAATCTATCAAGAAAGGGAGAAGGGAAGAAGGAACGGAAGGAACGAAGGAGGGAAACAAGAAGGAGGGGAGGAGAGAAGGAGGGAGGAGGGAGGCAGGCAATGCCCTCAGGCCCTTTGGCACTACAGAGGAGGCTCACGCTCACACAGGATAGCTGACTGACTCAGGAAGGAAATACAGAGAAAAGGCTGGCTTTATCTGTTTCCAGCTCCACCACTGGGCAGCTGGACAGCAAAGGGCCAAAGAGTAGACAGAAGGTGGGGTGCAATGCTGAGACTAGGGGTCGCCCCAATTTGCATTGCCCTAGGGGATTTTTCAGGTGAGGCTTCTACTCTAAAGGAGGATTTGCAGGCGGCAGACACAACCTCAGCCCATGCCGCATCCCCACTGCCAACTGAGTGGCCGCCTTCCGTCGTCATGGGCCGCTCAGTCTTCCAGCCCTAGAGCCAGAAAAGGAGTGAGAACTCGGGCTCCCCTGATGATCCACCCACAGGAGAAAATGGGGGACAGGAAGCATGGGCTCATTAAACAAGGGGTGGGAAGGACAGACAGAATGGGCGATGAGGATGTGTGGGAAAATGGATGAGCAGGCTGATGGGATGAGGCAGACAGAGAAGGCGACAGTGAAGGGGGACAGAGGACAGCTGAGCCCCAAGGCAAGGATGCAGAGGGGTGTAGCATCTGCTGTCTCAGTGCTGGAAGGTGCTGGGTGTTTGTCCTCGAGATGAACTGGTCCTGCCCCCTGATCTGTGACGTAAGATCGCTTCAGTGCCGAGAGAGGACGAGGGGCACAGAGAGAGAAGTGGGCAGGCTTGGCTGAGGGGCAGGACATGGTGGGGGATTCCGGCGCTCAGCCCAGCTCGTTCCGCAGGGCTTAAAAACCGGCTCCTTCTTCTACCCCGGTGGGAACGTCACCTACCAGGGAGAGGCCGTGACCATGAGCTGGAAGGAAGGCATCTTGCACAATTACAAGGATGAGAAGGAGTGGCGGGAAAACGTGGACACGGTGATGAAGTGGTTCACGGAGGAGGACTTGGCCCTGGTCACGCTCTACTTCGGGGAACCAGACTCCACGGGCCACAGGTTCGGCCCCGAGTCCCAGGAGAGGAGGGACATGGTGAAACAGGTGGACAGGACTGTGGGCTACCTCCGGGACAGCATCCGGCGCCACCAGCTCACGGACAGCCTCGACCTGATCGTGACGTCGGACCACGGCATGACGACAGTCCACAAGAAGGCCAGTGACCTCGTGGAGTTCCACAGGTTCCCCAACTTCACCTTCCAGGACATCGAGTTCGAGCTCTTGGACTACGGGCCCAATGGGATGCTGATCCCCAAGGAAGGGAAGCTGGAGAAGGTGTATGCAGTCCTCAAGGACGCCCACCCCAGGCTGCACGTGTTCAAGAAGGAGGACTTCCCGAAGAGCTTGCACTACGCCGCTCACCCCAGGATCACGTCCCTGCTCATGTACAGTGACCTGGGCTACGTCATCCATGGGGTCAGTGGGCTGCTGCTGCGCGGGGGTGGCACCCTGGTTCCACCCAGCCCCCCAGGGACACATTCAGCACTGTGCAACAGGAGTGTGTGTATGTGTGTGTGTGTGTGTGTGTGTGTGTCTGTGCGTGTGCTAAAGTGTCGGAAGCCCAGGCTCAAGGGGAAAAGGATAGGAAATAGAGTCCACACCAGAGAATCCCAGGAGAAGTAACAGCTCTGGGCAGGCACCGGGAGCCATCATATCAAGCTGACAGCTCTACCCATAGGTTCTCCATGTGGTCCGCAGTTACTCACTGGCACTCCATCTTTGGGGTCTCAGAATTAATAAGAGTCCAGGAGCCACCTCGCCAAGCATTGCAACTTTTCCTAAGGTCATCGCCAGCACGGGTGCCAACGCATGCAGGGAAACACTGAGAGGGAGGCCCTGGGGGCACTGTGGCCCCATCAATGACCCAGCACCCTCGCCCCTCCCTCGCTGCAGAGGGTGAGCGTCCAGTTCAACAACGGTGAACACGGCTTCGACAACCGAGACATGGACATGAAGACCATCTTCCGGGCTGTGGGCCCCAGCTTCAAGGCGGGCTTGGAGGTGGAGCCCTTTGAGAGTGTCCACGTGTACGAGCTCATGTGCCAGCTGCTGGGCATTGTGCCTGAGCCCAACGATGGGCACCCGGCCACCCTGCGACCCATGCTCCGGTCAGGTGAGGCAGGAACACGCCTTCCGTGGAGCCCGTGAGCTGCCACGCCCGCTGCCGGGCCACTGCACGTACCCCGGGGAGGCGGGCTATGGAGAGAGAAGCCCAGGGGCTCACGGGGACAGCCGGGGCCACCTGTGGAGCTGAGGTGCAGCCCTCTCACCGACCTCTGTCTCTCCTAGGGTCTGCTCCCCACCTCGGCAGAGGGACCCCCTTGACGATGGCGTTCCTGGGGATCCTAATGGTTCTGGCCAAGGTCACGTAACACTAGGCCACTCAGCCAGTTCAGCGAGTGTGACAATCCAGGCCCGGCTGCGGTTCTGGGGTGGAGGCTCCAGCCACATGCATGGGGTCCTGGGCTCATCCTCAGAATCAGAAAAAAAAGAAAAAGAAAATGTGGTCCTAGTTCTGGTGTTTGTAACTTAGGGGCACACGAAGTGAGCTTGCTCACCCAGCCCACGCCCATGACCATGGAGAGGGCTGCAGAGAGGACAGCCTCGGGCAGGGGCAGCTTAGGGTCACTGGACCTGAAAGAAGCCTGGGAGGTGTGCCAGGAGGAGAGGCTGAGATAGCTGTACCCAGCACAAGGTGGGCGGGATTCTAAAAGTGAAAGAAACCAGTGGAGAGGCTGTGAGCAGCTGCCTGTGTGCAAAGGAGGTGCTTTGTGCAGCTGGGCCCCCGGGGAGCCACCGTGGTGGAGTGGGCTCTCCCGGAGGCAGAAGCACAAACCTAACGAGGAGGTCAGCTCAGTCCAGGCCCAGCGGGACACTCAGCAGGCCAGGGTAGCTCAGTGAAAGGCTGAGGGCACCTCCAGGGGCTGAGCATTCGGGGCGGGGGGGGGGGGAGGGCCCTGGGGGGGCCCCGGGGGGGGGGGGGGGGGGGGCAGGGCCCTGGGAGCGCCCAGGACAGGGAGGCCTGAGGCTCAGGCCCCATGGTGGGCAGAGGCGCCCTCAGTGCAAAGACGCCGGGAGGACTGGGCCCGGGGCATTTGGGTCTGCGTCCGTCCCCGCGCCTGAGAAGCCTGAGCCACAGCAGGGCAACTCTTTGTACCCTGAAGCCTTACACACCCAGCGCTTGGCTTGGGCTGGCAGTTCACACGTACACATGTCAGACGCAGGGGCCAGACTAGAGCCTCTTGCCAGAGGACAGGAACAGGGAGATGAAGACCAGCCTCCCACTGGAAGGCACAGACGGCACGGAGATGGGAGGGGGGTGGGGAGCGCTACATCTCAGAGGGACCCAAGATCCTCCCCCTGACTCCCTCTTCGAGGTACAGATGCTGAAGCCAGAGCCCCAGCTGGCTAGCGACGGAGCTAAGTCTGCACGCTGGCATTCCAAACCTGCTTCCGGAGGTTCCGGGCCCCACGCAAACAGAGAGGCGACACCATTGCACAGTGCCGGAGTGTGCAGAACACACTCAGTCTTGTTCTTCCGCCAGCTATGGGTGGGCACCACAAACATCCAGGCAAGGGGCTGCAGCTCCTCTAACATGACGTCTGTGCACTCCAGAGCCAGGCCTGGGAAAGGGCCCCTTCCCACTCACCCTCCGGCAGGACGCGCTCTAGACCAGCCTGTGAACACCACAATACAACACTCAAGACCCATGGAATAAGTTGCCAAGAACACACACAGAGAAACAAACCTCATGTTTTGATTATGTTTAGGACTTTGGCTTGAGCAGCTCCATGGCTCTCCTGGGGCGCATGTAGCTCCTGGGGCCACAGGCCGGACACACTTAGTCTAGCACCCCCAAAACAGCTTGCATGCATTTGCCTGTGTCCCCCATGATCACAGGGAGGCTGGCTCTCTGACTCCTTCCCAGCTGGCTCCCCTCTGACCTCATCCCCATCTCCCCTGTGCCAAAACATGATGCCTGTTTTTCCAAGAAGTCTCTAGAAGCTATCTCTTGGCTGCAAGCTGCTGGACTCTGGACTGACAGGAACAGGCCCAGCCTCTCAGCTTACCAAAGCTCCCCTCCACCCACCCAATCTGCCTCATGGTGTTCGCTCACACGAGGCTATCATAGGGCTAGCACTAAGAGCAGCTGCCCAAGTTTGCCACCCTAACCCAGTGCCAGCCTATGCTCAATCCTCTCACTCCCACTGAGCCTTCCCCTGAAAACAGCTCTGTCCCCTGTGGCCACACGGGGCATATTAGAGCCAGGCAAAGATGGGCCTGGGCAGGGCTGAGCCTGGCATGGCAGGGTGCCTGAGCAGGGCATCTACAGCCTTGGGTTTCTGATATCTGCCACAAGAGGGCGCTGTCTGGCAAAGCACCCTGGAAACAGGATCCAAGTCCCTCTGCTGATACCCAGACTTTGAGACAGTTGCAAGAGCCAGTAAGGAAAGAGGGACCCAAAGGGGTGTGTCACAGATAACTAAGTCCTAAAGACGGTGGCCACACACGGCTGGGGCGGTTCATTCTCGCTGCGGGCCAGGCCCCTTTGGCCGGCCGGCGGATCCTGGCACAGGAGTGGGCTTTGCACTCAAAGAGGAAAATGAATGAGGAGGCCCTTTGTGAGTAGGCGGACAGGGAGTTAGTGTTGTCCACGGGCCACAGGGCTGAGCAAAACACACAAGGTGGAAAGCGCAAACACAAGTCAGGGTGACTGGCCCTGTGCAGGGCTGGGTGGCCAGGGCCTGGCACAGGGGACTATTCACCCTCCGCTTCAAGGGCTGTGCTTGAGCAGCGTGGCTTTCAGCAGTCAGGCTCGCCCAGGCCTGGCTTCCTGTGCACACTGACTCCTGTATATGAGTGCAAGGATGGACCCCCACCTTGCAGGGAAGGCAGCCCCACACGGGCAGGGCCTGTTGCGGAGAGGCCGTGACGGCCAAGCCCAGCTCCCTCCAGAATGACCCCCTCTGTGACTATGCCAGATAAGCAACTCGGCTGACAGGTTGGGGGGGGGGAAGCTGTCCCCCTCCCTGATCCTCTGCTTCTGCCCTCGGCTTTAACTTTTGCACTGGGGGCCCAGCCCCACCTTCCATCCAAAAATCCCTGCCTAGACGCCTGGAACTGGAGTGCTGACCAGCCCAGGAATCACGTAGGCTCACGACCCCACATCAAAGAGGTTGCCGGAGAAGACTAGCCCACAGCCACTTCCACACAAGCGCGCTCGCGTGCGCACACGCACACACACCAGCTCTGATGCTATGGCCGCCCCGACTGGATGGAGATCAGGCCCAGATGACATCCCCAGTTCTTACTCCAGGTGCTGGGTGACCTGAAGGTTCCTCCTGAGCAGCTGCGCATCCCCTGTGGGGAACAGGGCTGAGGGACAGATGGACTCACCCAGAACACTGCCAACTCCCTTGCCAACAGTCACTGGCTCCTTGGTCCTGGGAAAGTTGCCATTTTCCTCTGGGCCTCATCCATAAAATCAGGGTCGTAACCCACCAAGCCAGCCCAGGCCTGTAATTCTAGCCCTCAGGAGGCTGAGGCAGGAGGATGGTAAATTTGAAACCAACCTGGTCTGCATGAGCAAGAGCCTGTCTCAAACAAACAAGCCTCAAGGTGGTCACGGTGATTAGTGAGAACTCACAAACACGATTCCTAAGAGACAGGGCGAAAGGTGCCAAAAACCGAGAAAGCCCACCCCAACCTCCATCAAGCTTGTTCCCCAAGCAGAGCTTCTGGCTGGCACTCACGCCTGAGCCAAGCGGCTTCCCTGCATGGGGCAGGGGTCCCGGCTCCACCCGGCACACCGCCACACCCGGGTGGCACTTCGAAGATGGCTCACTGGGGAACCTGCCCCCAAACCTGAGCTTAACAGCTGACCCCCATGGTGGAAGGAGACTCAGCTGCTAGGAAGCTGCTTCCGACCTCCACATGCGTGCTGAAGCAATTTGGAGCACACGTGACACTCATATATGCATGCACACAAACACACACGCTCAGTAAATATGTAATCTAAAGATTGAAGCGAGCCGGGCTCAGCGGCGCACGCCTAGAATCCCAGCACTCCGGAGGCAGAGGCAGCGGGATCTCTGGGAGTTTGAGGCCAGCCTGGTCTACCAAGTGAGTCCAGGACAGCCAAGGCTACACAGAGAAACTCTGTCTTGAAAAAATAAGTACACAGATAGATAGATAGATAGATAGATAGATAGATAGATAGATAGATAGATAGACAGATTGATAAATAAATAAAAGTGAAAGGCAGACAGGAATGGTGGTGCACACCTTTAATCCCAGAACTTGGGAATCACAGGCAGACAGATCTCTGAATTCAAGGCCAGCCTACTCTACAGGCTGAGTTCCAGGACAGCCAGGGCTACACAGAGAAACCCTGACTCAAAAAATAAAAATAAGGTGGACGACATTTGATGCTAACTCTCTGGCTTCCATATGAGTGTGCACACACAGCAAATGCAGGAACACACACACACACACACACACACACACGATTGATTGATTGATTGATTGGTGACTGATTGAAGATTGATTGACTGAGACAGGGTCTCACTTTGTAGCCTGGCTGTCCTGGAATTCACAGAGAGCTACCTGCCTCTGCTTCCCAAGTGCTAGGATTAAAAGTCTACATTTTAATTATTACTTAGTTATTGCTAAGACTGGCAATAAATACATTTAAGTAGGAAAAAAGGGGGGGTGAGTTAAACTAAGATTTTGACTACATAACAGCGCAGACAGGCACGTGGCAGGCCCGGAGGACCCCTGCCTCCTCCATCTGGGAGGCCACTGCAGGGAGCTCGGCAGGGAGGCACTTGGGCCCCCAGGGCCAGCATCCAAACGCACCCCCCGGCTCCCACAGAGATGCCCAGTTTCCCGGGGATAGCCTGGCTGCCTTGGACTGCCTATCCTGTCCCAGCTCAGACCCTGCGCAAACTCCGCGGAAATAAAGCCATGTCCCCGCATCCCGCAGCTACAGGGACATGGCTGGGCAATGATCATAACGTGCCACCCTTTCCCCGGCCTCTGCCAACCGGAAGCAGCCTATGAAACATCCCGGGACCCACTTGGGTGGTCCGTGTTGGGACACAGAAAGCCCCCTTTGTCAAGAGGCCCCGCCCCTCCAGAGGTGGTTCCGTCAAGCCGGCTGCCGCCAGGAGGTGGCGCTCCTGGGCTCCTCAACGCCAGGAAAAGCCTTTCCCGGGCAGCTTGTGCAGTGGGAGAGAGCAGCCTCAGTGCTACAGCTCTGATTGCTCACACTCAGCCTCCAGAATGTCGGCAGGGTGACCCCACCCACCCACCCAGGACGCTGAGGCCCAGGCCTCGTTCAGAATCCCCTCAGGGAAATACCCTGCTTTCCCACACTCAGCATCCAGGATGCCCGGATCAGTAGGTCTGAGATTTGAGCAAATGCCAGACAGACACACTGCACTTTTGAGAGCTCACACACGCCTTTGAAACCAAGTGTGTGTGGTCCTGGGAGTCTGT